ATATTCCATCCCCTATTCAGCTTGCTCAGTTAGCATACTTTGCTAAAGACCTCTGGGGACAATCTACACACTAAACCTCTTTCAGTCCCTCCCAGGTTCACCATGTATGTAACAGGCTCAGCTTCCTTCACCTCTCAGCAGTGATTAAACTGATTAAAATAGCTTCTTCAAACAATAAGCCTTAATTATTTACCCAGTTAAGCAGAGGAAAAGGATAAAAATAACAAAAAGGCCTGGTTCTTACTTGATTCTTTCCTCTCAAGCTTTGGGTAAGTTCTGCTCGATACCGTCCCCTTCCTCTTATGTGTGAGTGGTCAGAGTGCGGGTAGCATCCCCAGAGTCCCTCTGCCCAAGATTCATTTCCAACTGCTTGTGGCCAGCTTGAACTTGCTTCCTTCCTGAGCCAACATCTTTAATGGTTTGCGGCTAGTTCTGGGCCTGGGAAGAATAAACCTGGTTAGTCTCAGTGGAGCCAGGGAAATGGGAGTTCCAAATTCCTGTAGTTACCCCTGTCTGGGACACTGTTTTCACCTTAGCATCTCCTTTGATATACTCTATGCAGTCTGGATGATTTAATGATCTGAGTCAATCAGTTGAGTTGCTTACTGTATTAAAAAAATTACTCACAGACCTTGCTCATTTGCCATATCCTACAGCTTGTGCTTTGTCCTCATATCTGAAGTTCTTTCAGTTACTGATGTCATTCCTTTATGCTTACATGTTCAACATTTCTTACATAAAATGAAAGAATGAAACAAATCTTTAAAAAGAGAGGTGCACATTTGTGTGAGGAAAAAGGTCACATAACCAGCAGATTTGTATATAAATGAAAAGTACTGCTCAAGAACATTGACTTATTAAAAATAAACCATAGTGTCAATAATGCCTTAAAGAGCTCCAGAAAGAAGATTGAAAATGTAGTATTTTCTAAGTGTGAATGTGGCAGCTACAAAAACTGAAGTTCATCTGATTTGTTCACGCCACTATTTGGATTAAATACATGTTAACATAATCAAAAACCAGGAACCAAGACACAGTATGTCAGTGTGGGAATGTTAGAGTTCTTTCATTTTCTAAATGTGCTCTCTTAGAGAAAAGATAAGTACTTAAGTGTATTGATCATAGCTAGTTCAAATGGTCAGATATATAGTCTCAAATATCTGGGCTGGAAAGAGAGCAGGACTCAGAATGTAAAGCAGCATTTAATACTGATTTTGTTTTTTATAATTTTAAGGAAATGAAATGAAGGCAATGGGTTGAGGTGACTGCTGAACATATTGCATTATGCTTCAGTCAGAAGCATTAATGAAAAATCACCATAAGTAATTTGAGCATATATTTCTTTCTCCAAAATCAATTAAAAGCTGTCATACAAAGTTATGCATTTAGTATAATTTTTCAGCAGTCTTACTAGAGAAGGATAATGCAAGATGGTTATCCTTCACACAATAACAGTCTTACTAAAGAAGGATAATACAAGATGATTATCCATCATGCACATGGCACTTGTTAATATTTCCCAGTACAGTGTTCAGCTGAGAATGGCTGTCCTTCATTTAATATTAACAAGACTTTTCAAACCAGAATTTGGTGCAGATCTCTCAGATAATCCTGCAGACACTATTTGCACTGTAAGGTAGATGCAAAACTAGCACCCAAAGAGAAAATGTTTTGTTATGTTACTCAGTGGTGGATTAAGGTTTATTGGGGCCCTGGGCAAACAGAAAATTAGAGGCCCCCTGCAGCAGCTCAGTTCCAGCAGGAGTGGGGTCCCCTTCCCTTCCTGGTGTTGCTGCAACCAAGGGTGGGGCATGGCTGGAGTGGAGCTGAGCAGGGTGAGGGCAGATGCAGGCTGTGAGCTGCAGGCTTGGATCTCTCTGCTCTGCTATCTTTGCCCTGGGGGACCCGCGTTTCTTGCCTGCCTGATAGCAGGAGGCAAAACTCGCCCCCCCCCCCCAGCTGCCAGGCAGGTAGGGGATGTGCAGTCAGCTTGGGGCTCCTGGGTCAAAGGCAGCAGTATGGAGAACCCCAAGTCCACAACAGGCAGCCCACATCTGTCCTGTGCACAAATCTGGGAGGTGGGGGGAAGGCCCCCCCATGTCTCCCCCAGGGGGTGCACGCAGAGGTGGGGAGCTGCTTCTCCTCCCCACCCCCCCCATGTCCCCTGAACGAGCCACCTGTAGCTCCATCCTGCTCCTTGCCCTAAGTCCAGGTGCCCCTGCCCCTTCCCTACTCCCTCCCTCACCATGGGGGCCTTGATCTGTCCCATCCCCCCCACACATGCACCCCTCTCCCCCTATAGACTTACCTTCAGGGAGCTTCTCTGAACACTGCCTGGCTGTGTTTCTGACCACGTGTAGCCATGCACATGCAGGCAGTGCCCCCCTGCACCTCACTCCTGGCTGCCCCAAGCAGGGCCCCTTGCAGGCTAGAATGCTGCCTGCCTGCAAGGGGAAACCTGCCACTTCCCAAGGAAACCCAGGCAGAGGCCCCTGGACCCAGGCCCCCCTGGCCCTAGTGTTAATCCTCTTATGATGTTACTCTAACTTTTTTTAATCAATGGTAGAATAGTTGTACCTCAGAGACATAACATAATAAAAATGCATCTGGGGCAGTCCTTTCCTACCCTTCCCTCCCTCCTATCCCCCCATACCTTCTAGCTTCAGTACTAGGCCGGATGC